CCTTTTGGTGTCTCTGAGCTAGGAACTTTGGCAGGCTCTGCATTCACCTCTGGGATGTGGCCTGCCTTGTCTGCAAGTTCTGTATGTTGTCTCATAACCACGCTGCGCAGCCATGTCTATCCTGCGTGCTCACTTCACTGGCCATAAATGCTGCTCCAAAGTGTTCTTGTTGTGAGCAAATACCTGCAAACACATGAGATTTTTACTTGCTTTCTGCATCATCCATTCAGGCTTCATCTACACAAGGTGCTTTACCGTACAGTTGACTAATTATCCCTGCTGTAAAGCATCACTGTATTGTGCACCCCTATTAGGCCAGAGTAAACTAATTAACTCCACTATAGGATAGTACTGCCCAATACAAGTACTATCCCACAACAGAGTTCCTTACTTTGCTACAATGTACATGTAGATGGTGACTGGAGCTGGCTGTGTCACAAGATTGCTACAGTGTAGGGATCTGCTTGCTGGCTAGCCCCACACTGTAGCACCCTTGTGCACCAGCCAGCCCCTCCTCAGCACATAGAACCAGAGGGGAGCAGCTCTGGACTGGCAGGCTGACCCCCTGGGTCCTTTGCCAGCTGAGCTGTGCTGTCCTGGCTCAATGTGTTGCAGTTCCATGGGCATATGTAAATACTGTGCCTGGGAATAATAAACTCCCATGTGCACTGTGCTGTGATGATGTTTATTGTGTCACATTAATATCACATGTAGTTGTGCCCCCTGTCTCCTCAAAATGTCCTGTTAACTCTGTGAGCAGCAGAGATAACAAGCAGCAGTCACTTAGGTTTCACAAATATAGAAGAATGACAACCTAGCTGTACAGCCCAACCAAGCTCAGTTTGTCTGTAAAAGATGCATGGTGGGCTGTTATGATCTGTGCAAGACTGACATGGACAGTAGAAAGAGAAGAGAACAAGCAATTATCTTCTTTAAAAGGACTGGAAATGGAAAGAGGAACTATTACAGAATGAAAAAAAAAGAGAATTGTGAAATGGAGATCCCAAGCACATACAATAGGCATTATGCTAGCATCCCATAATGTATTGCAAGAATGTCCCATAAGGCATTCCAACAGAAGGTGGCCTGGAGAACCCCGAGATCCTTTGGTGCTGTAGCTTCGGCTGAGACAACCATGCACAGTGAGCATGCGGGAAGCTTGCACAAGCTGCTGAGTTTGCATGCACTCTGATGGCATAGCAGTTAACTAAGTTAGTTATCAGCTTTCAAAACTTATGACAATTAGCTTTGCTAGTGGGTATGCAGGTTTGGCCTCATTCTTATTGAGGATGTGGCTTCACCTCTTCATAGGTGGAGAGTCTGAAGTCAAGGCAGGGTAGCATCCTAAAGATTACTGGTTCGGGGAAGCATAAGCTTTCATAGGGAACATCATACTACATCAGACCTCTCCAAATTAGTCTCTCCTGTTTATTCAGGTGCAATACTAGTTCATAAATCACACCAAGCTGTGTGAAGGACAGAGGAACACATTCTAATCCAGTGGAGGACAACCATTTCAGCAGACAATACCATAACTTAGCTCTGCAGCCTTAGCAAGCATTGCTTTGACCTTCTTCCCCTTCTCCTGACCAATCTGCTGCTCTGCTTTCTGCTCCCTGACCTTTTTGTCACTGTACTGCCTGTCCCCTCCCCAATCTGCCATGCACCAGACACAGACACTCTCCTCCTCACTTGTGGCACACATACCACAGGTTGACTACACGTGTTCTAAACAATCTGACTGCATTAGTGTGCAATGCAGTTTTATGAAACCATAGGACAACATTTGGCCAAAATTTAAATACCCCCGTCAAGTAAATGTAATTATATTGATCCATTCTAGGGCTAAATTTCACCAATGGTATCTTTGGGGTGTGATTCTAAGGATGGCACTTCATGGATGAAGTGTTAGCTGCATCTCCCTATCCCTTTCTTTGGTACTGTAAAGAAAGGCATGTGTAAATCGGGGGGAGAAAAGTAAGTTGGACTATTAGTTGTATCACTGAGGGGCTGCCTTTCCCTTTGGACAAAGTCCTAAGTATATATAATTATAAGTGTTTCTAAATTTAGGAATAATTTGGCAAGCAAAATATGCATTCTTTAAAAAAAAATAATTTCAGATATTAATGTCGTGCGAGATCCAATTGTCAGAGACGCCATAGTCATTAGCCAGCTGCAAATGTGTGGCATCATAGTCTTTCATTCCATAAATACTGGTCTCTGCTTGTGAACTAAAACAACAGTTCCTCTAGCTCAGCACTTAAAGAAAATGGATGTATAAACATACAGCATCATAGAAAACAGGGCTGGCAGGGACCTTGAGAGGCTACCCATTTCACTGTCCTGTCTCAAGGTAGTATCAATTCTGGCTAGATCATTCCTGACAGAGGTTTGTCTAACCTGCTCTTAAAAACCTTCCCATCTCTCATTCATATCTTATATGCAAACACAATTCTGAAGAAGGTTGTGGAATTTCCATCACTGAGGGTTTTAAGAGCAGGGTCATGGTCATGTCTAGCACTTGCCATTCTGTAGACAGTGGAGAGACAGAAGCCTCTCTTCTCAGAGATGTTATAGTGATGGGATGCACTTTATAAAATAAGGTAAATGATCCACTCTCTGCAATAATGGCAAAGTGAGGAAGCAATTTCTTAACATTTATAACGTAGCTGGTTTTGTTTATGCCTTCTGACCTCATTGCTGTACTAGCCAAGCACTTATCAAGAGTTTTAAAAAATAGAAACAACAATTAGCATAAGATGGATACTTTAATGGCTTTTCATGCCTCAGTGTACAAAGTTTTGCAAATTCCTTGCACACCAAGACCAATATGAACCCCATCAAATTCAAATATCTCATCCTTCCCCTGAAAAATGACTAAATCCAAATGAAAAATAAGGTAGAACAACTAAAAGGAGGATGTTCTTGCTGCTTTTAGTGATCGTGTTTCAAGCCATGACATGATCTTCTGCCTGGTATGGGTATATATACTAGGAATACTTATACAGCCCATTGACTATTTGCCACACAGAGGGTGCATCTACCCATTCATTAATGTGACGTAGTTACTGCACATTAAGTTTAGTACTTGGTTAACCAAGTAATAAAATCAATGCTCAGTAACTTGTACTACTGTGCAGTAACACTGACGCACAGGTTTTTAGTGATGCTTACTGTGTAGCTTAATACTACTGTGCAGTAGCTTATTAGCACAGTTTTTGCCCAGCACGCTACTGTTCAGTTAGCCTCTTGTGTAGACACACCCAGAGATGATAGTCCCTGAATTTGCTTCTGGACTAATGTTATAAACAGTCTAAAAATACAGTTTTTTCAGTGTTTTAACACTGGTTCTGGATGAATAGCCTGAACTAAGCATAATTACAGCAACAATGCAGGGAAACGAGACAACGCCTAAAAATTAGTTAAAATTCTAACACAGGTTCAGGGTACAAATCCTGTTACTTAGCAGTTACCTATGTTTTTTTCCACAAGACTGCTGCAATATTCATGGCACAGGTTGCATGTCTAGGGAGCATAGGGAGACTGATATACAGTTGCACAAGAAAATATGACTCCTCCACTTTCTAAATTTTGAGTACTGGCTTATGCAAATCAAATAAATTTCTTTTAATATAGTGTTGTGGAGAGTTTAGGGGATATGTAATAATATACATGCAATAATGTGTTTATGTGTGTGTGTGTGTGTGTGCGCGCGCGTATGCGTGTGTACTTGTGTGCATAGATGTATTTATCTTCTACATCATTACCCCATTTATCTTCTACATCATTACCCCCTATTAAAACTATTTAGTAATAGAAACATGGTTATAGAAATGGAACGAAAGAAATGATAAGATTGCTGCATCTGACTACAATATTAGCTTATTAATGGAAGCTTTAGAGACCTCTGGGCACTTGACATCCAAAAACATGAGGTATCTATAAACTAAAATAAATGTGCATCTCTAATCCTGGTATAGAATCTTGCACCCATCAGGCTTTGATCATCCGGTCACGTGCCGCGCGACTTTGGATGTATAGGGCTGTCCATCGCTCCATCCCTGTGGCCCCACTGAACAGATGTCCCGCCCCAGGGTAGTCTCCTCCCCAGTCTTTCCTGCCATGACTTTGTATGTTATTCCAGTGGTGGGGACCGACTACTGAGGTTCTCAAGCACCTGGGACCTCTGAGCGGCGATCTTCCGCGAGGCTCCACCTCCCCTATACCTCTCCCTGAGACCCAGCCTTGACAAGTTGTTGATGTCCTGCGGCCAGACCTCTGACTGTTGGTGTCCCATGTTCTCTTGTAGAGACGTACTAGGGGCCCCCTGGACCCACTCTATGCTTTACCAGCAGGGTCTCACAACCGTCTAATTTCCCCTGGGACAACACTCTTTTTTGACTGAGCTAACACAGGGCTCTCTGTACTATAACTGACAACCCCTCCAAAAGTGGGAAACAGAAAGAGACAACCAAAAAAACCCACCAATATCAACACCAGAGTGGCTCCCGGGCTAAACAGGATGAGCCCAACTGGCCTCTTGATCCCTGACCTCCTGGTCCACTCTACAGCAATAGGCGCCGACCCCTAAAGCTCCAGACTGGCCCTGACCTGGGTACGCACTAGCCTACCAGCTACCACATTCTTCCCTCCATTCTTTGCCCAGCCTGTGGGTTTGCCGGACCCTCGGTGGTCCCTCTGGTCACATCTTCCCCACATCCCCCATTGGGCGGCTCCACATGGCTGGAGTCCGTCCTCCATGACCCCTCCCACTTCTTAGACTTTTCGTACCCCTCCTGGGGTCTCTCCTGGAGCCTCCTGGAGCCCACACCAGTCCCACCTTGTGAGATGTCGTTGGCTCTGCTGATCTCCCCGGCTCCTTGGGGGTACCTCTCGTCATCTTTCTCCTCCTGCTCCCTCTGCTCTTCCCCTCCAAATCTTCTGTTCATGTGTGGTGCTTTCCCCTCTCCTCTCTCTGTGTCGTTGCCGGCGTCTCCCCCATGACGGACTTCAAAGTGCACTTCAGCCTGGTGAGAGGCAGACCAGTCTCCTTTTACCCCTGGCAGGGGTTCCGGGGATGCATTCCCTGCTGGTGACAGTCCAGGTCTCTCTCCTTCTCTCTCTCTCATGGCTCTGTTTATATTCCCCCTCTGGCCCCTGCCGCTTCTATCATCAGCTGGCCACAGCTTTAAAAAAACACAGCTAATGATCTGTGCGGGTCCCACCAGCATTTCCGGCTTTGCCACGGCTCCAGCTACAAGTATGAGATTTTCTGTTTTTTTTCCTCTTCTCTTGCATTCTCCAGCATGTTCTGGACCCCAGGATTCCCCCTTGGCCCCTCGGGGTCTGTTCCTTGATTCCTCCCTGTAGCAAATCTTTTTTCTGTAAGATATACATGCAAGGAAATGTTTAAACAACTGTTCAGAAACAGAAAAATAATGTTAATTTGAATAGATGAGAAAATAGATTGTTACAGTAAGAGAATTGGGTATCTCAACTGACTTATTTCACCACTAAATGTCTACATTCATTTAGTACTACCTGAATCTAAAATACCTGTTTCATTATCCAGGAGCTCCTTAAAGGCTCTGCTGTTAGGCTAAATCAAAAAAGCCATAACAGATACATAATGAGGTTGTCACTTTCCAGAGGCAGTAACTTCCCAAAAAGAAGAATGGTCAGGATGGTGTGTTAATGTACAATTTGCTAAGGCAAAGAGCCAGTGCAGGAGATAATTGAAATAATTCTAAGAAAGAAAATTGTAAGTGGGGAGCAGGGTTGGATGGGGGAGGGGACAGGACCTGTAAATGATCATCTCCTCCAGCTGGTATGAATCAATCTCCTTCCATTGACTTTAGAGATATACTAATTTGCACCAGCCAAAAATAAGACCCATTAGTTTGATAGTTGTTATCAAAATGAGATATGTGGAACTGATTCCAATTTGTATGGCATGCTTTTATTACAGGAATACCAAATTGATATATTTTTTGCCCAGACCTGGACAGACAGCCGCCTTCGTTTCAACAGCACCATGAAAATACTGACTCTGAACAGTAATATGGTTGGCTTGATTTGGATACCAGATACAATCTTCCGAAATTCCAAAACAGCAGAAGCTCACTGGATCACAACACCTAACCAACTCTTGAGAATATGGAATGATGGGAAAATCTTGTATACTCTAAGGTAAGAAGAGGGCAAGTCTGACTAAAAGTGCTTGGTATCCCTTTTTGAATAGTGTTTTTGAAAGCTGGGCTTTTTTCTTCTGCACTTCCCAATTTAAAATCTGAAGGAAGAGGTGTCAAAATTCTGGAGGAAACTAGATGAATGCAAGCACCCATGTCTGCTACCTTATACAAGACATGATGAAAAATCGTACATCATATGTTTTGTCAAAAACATAATTACTTAAATATTAGAGTTGAAGTAAACAATAGGGTGTTTCAAACTATAAGTCTGTGTTTTAAAATGGATCTGTTTACATCAAAGATTGTTTTTATTCATTTGAGAAACTGGACTATTCAGATATACCATTCTATCATAAACAAGAATCTCTACAAGCAGTCTGCTTGTGAAATACACCTTCCATGTTACACCTTCTGCACTAATTGTATTCAGCTTCCTCAGTACATTGTCACACTCATGATACTTGGTTACCAGTAGGAATACCACTACTGAAAACCGCTACTTAGTTTTTATGGTATTCTCCTATTTTGAAGTTTGATCCAAACCTCAAAATAATCTTGCTTATTTCAGTGGGTCCTGATAAATAAGAGAAGATAATTTATAACCCTAGTTGTAGACACATAGCATATTTAAATGTGTGTAATTTACCTTTCCATCAGTCTAAATGTGGAAAAGACACACAACATACAGTGTTATAGTAGTATAAGTCACTCCAATTCAAAGAAAAGTCATTCTCAAAGGTAAGAGTAACTATACTGGTGTCTTGTGTTCACCAGCTATGCCAGTGTTGTATGTTCACAATTCCAGTTCATTTGGGTTATCTGTGTGCACAGTGAGAATGGATTACTACTTGTGCCTTGCCACCTAGTGGTGATATGGTGCAATAGCACCTACTACACATCGCTGCGTGTCTGCTCTGTACAATAACGTAACTTCAATGAGTGTATAAACTGAGAGAAATTACACTGGTGTACATGTGCTGTGTGTCAGTGTGTGGATGTGAATGATCCCACTTCTATTGTAGTAGAGTGCAGATATTTCTGAACAAATTGGCTGATAGATTTTTCTGTCAACTGGTCATTATATCAACAAGAAGCAAAGCTACCTTGAATGAAGTTTGGGTTAATAGCAAGGATCTCGTAAAATAACTGGCTGTGGGACATAATATAACAAAGGTCGTCACCTTCAAAAGGACTAACTTGGAAAAAAAACAAAGATCTCTTAAGTAAAGCGAATGACTGGACTGAAAATTTTAGAGGAAAAATCGATAGGCAAGGACTGCAAAACTTGTGGCTGAACAAGAACCTTAAACAGGCTGTTATGAATACATGAAGGATGTGAAAGCAATGGGAATTGCCAAAGAATTGCTCAATCTTTTGAAGAATATTAAAAATAACAGGAAAAAAACCTTCTATGGTAATATAAATAAAAAGAGAATCAGAAAGGAAGAATTAGAGACAATATATGTTGAAGATAGAGTAGATATCCAGGACCAACCAGGCACAGCCCAAGTAGTCAATAAATATTTTGCCTCAGTCTTCATTCAGGATGAATGAGAAACTGAGAAAACTGGTAGTGTACCACATGGCAGTGTGGGTATGAATATAGAATTTATCAGCTCTGAGGTAGAAACAAAATTTATACTGGCCTCTACTGCAGAATCTGAAGGCCTAGATAATCTCCATCCTAGTCCACTGAAGGGATTAGCACATGAAATAGTGACTCCTCTATTACAGATTTTCATGGAATCTGTCAATTCAGGGGCAGTACCCTGTGCCTAAAAAATTGAAAATAAAATGCTCATTATCAAAAAAAAAAAAAAAA